ATGACTAGGCCATTGTTCCTACACACAATGGTTGTAATAACCTAACATCTCTATATATCAGCGTTTTGTAATCTGTGTTGTGATGTGTACGGACACACACTTATAACAATATGTATTATGTTTAATTGTATACGTATACTTACCATTATATACTGAATGTATATTTATATAGATATTTATATTATCAAACACGTACTAATAAATTATATGTAAATGCACACACACACAACACCCAACCAACCAAACAAACACCTTATATTATGGTAATGATTCATCAACACACACACATACACACACTCACAAATCACATCACACACATCAACACATTTTTTTATCTTGGTAACACACAAAAGCCACACACCAACCCACAGACAACAACACCACACTTTGCACATATTATACATACAACAGAATTATAATTTTGATTTATATATTATATAGTAATAATATTATATATAAATATTATATATATATATATATATTATAGTATATCATATATACTATATATATATATATATATATATATATATATATATATTATATATTATATATATATTATTATATATTATATATATAATATATATATATATATATATATATATATATACATGTGTGTGTGTGTGTGTGTGTGTGTGTGTGTGTGTGTGTTATGTAAAGTGTTATATACCTTTGTGTTCAATTCTGTGAACTGTCGAATAAGGGTAGCGGAGCAGCGGGCAAAGGGGGGGGAGGGGGAGGGGGGGGGGGAGGCTGTGCATTACCTGGTCCATTACAGATCGCCGTGCCACTTAAAGGGTTAAGGTCTGATCGTTTCAATTTCTGGAAATAAAGAAATATTGTGGAGATTATCGAGCACTTTTCTTCCACTTTGGATTTTTAGGATGTGTCCAATATTATTTCTGGCGTTTATGTTGTCGTTAATATTTCATTGTGATGTTAGTGACGATGGTTGCAATTATGTATAAAACCTTGTCAAAATTATCACAATAATTCTGAAAAGTTCCGACATTCCCTAAATGTTTAAGACCCATAGAATGAAAAAAATAACGGCAGATCTAAAGCCGGCAGTCGCGATTCGGAGAATATAATATACGTTATGTAATTTTCTCGAGCTTTGGCACATTTTTTGTTGGCCGTAATCTAATTATCACACCAACATAATTCTCTAATTAATGTTACCAAAGATAGAGATTAACGTGTATTTACTAGGGAAATATTTACTTCATATAAAAGGTCACTTTAATGTACTTACATAAAGCTTGCCATATTCAGCTGTTCTGAAGAGAGTAGCAGCGTTAATGGCAAAGGTAAACAGGAAAGATTATTTCCGAATCGCGGACGTTTTACCTAAGTGTCAAAACGAAACATAAACAGACAAAACATAAATAAGCATCATAATGATTTGGGAAATCCTCAACCTTTCTAGCACTTTTTACGAATTCCCAATGCAAGTAAAAGTAATTAAGAGACTGTCAAAGGAGATTATTATTTTTATTTTCATTTTACGCGTCTCAAACAGTTGCAAATAGTCGCAATATGTCCCTTGCACGTAAAAGCTGTTAAAAGCTAGAAAATCGGATTATGATATAAACACCTCCGTTTCGTGATTCATGAATTAGAACGTAAAACATAATGCTTTTTAGATTCCTGATAAAAGGGGAAAAAAAAAAACTCGCGTGTGTTGTTGTCTGTGGGATATCAGCTGGTAAAATGTTCGCCATTGAGGGGAGCGCCTGTTTTCACCCAGCTGAAAATTGTCATATGGAATTTCAAGTTATCATACTCTCTGATAAAAAAAAAAAGAAAAAAAAAATAATAATAATCATATTGATAATGAAGGTTATGTCACAAACAATGATGATGACGATGCTGATAAAAATAACTAAATATACTACTACTATAACAATTACTACTAGTAGTTATGATATTAATGATCGTAATGATAGGAATAATAATGGTAATTATAATAAGAATATGATAATAATGATGGCAATGATGATGATAATGATGATAGTAATACTAATAAGAATAGAGATATAACAATAACAATAATAATGATAATAGTATTAACAGAAATGATGACGTAAATAGCATTGACAACAACAACAAAACAATAGTGAAAACAACTATGATAAGAGCTATGAATATGATTTCGATGATGATAATGATGATAATAAGTGAGCCAAAGACAGTAATAATATTGATAACAACAATAATGATGGTGATAATGATGATGTGAAGACATGATGATGATGATTACTACTACTGATAATCGTGATGACGATAAAGTAATAGGAATAATGAAATAGTAATTAATGATGATGATGATATTGACGGTGAAAATCAATATTTCAAATAGAAATCCGAATGTGATAAATTAAACAATATTGATAATGGTAAACGTGATAATAATGATAATAATGATCATAACGGTGATAACAATGAAAACAGTAACAACAACAACAATAATAATGATGATATTAACATAAAAGCAATGATAATGATAATGAAAATAATAGTGATAATAGTGATAATGATAGTAATAATGGTAATAATAATATCAATAATGATAATAATTATTAGTATAATAATAATAATATGATAATAATAAATAATAATATAATAAATAATAATAATAATATAATAATAATAATAATAATATAATAATAACAATAATAATAATAATAATTAGTAGTAGTAGTAGTAGTAGTAGTAGTAATAATAATAATAATAATAATAATAATAATAATAATAATAATAATAATAATAATAATAAATAAAATATAATAATGATAATGACAGTAATGATGATAATGATAATGATGATAATAATGGTAATGAAAATGTTTATAATAATGATAATGAAAATGTTTATAACAATGATAATGATAACAACAATAATAATGATAATAATGGTAAATGATAATAGTAATGATAACAATAATAATAATAACGATGATGATAATAATGACAATGATAATAATAACAATAAGCATGGTAGGGATGACAATAATGATAATAATGATGATAAGGACAATAATGATAAAAACGACAAAACAATGATAATGATATTGATAATGATAATATCAATAATGGTAATGATAATAATCATAATAATACTGAAAACAATAATAATGATAACAATAATTATGATCATAATAATGATAATGATAATAACATTGATAATAATAATAATAATGATGATGATGATAACAATTATAATCATAATTATGATAATTAGTAATGATAATAAAAGTAATAAATATAACACTAACGATAATGAAAGTAGTATCCGATTGAAAGACCACAGAAGATGATAATGATAAAGACTGACAGAGAGAGAGAGAGAGAGAGAGAGAGAGAGAGAGAGAGAGAGAGAGAGAGAGAGAGAGAGAGAGAGAGAGAGAGAGAGAGAGAGAAAGATTTTTTTACATGAAAGAAAAACAACGAAGATGGAACCAAAATCAATGGCAGTAGACAAGATTAACGCTCTGTTACTGCTGACGTGGTGGGAGATTCTGAGCAAAATGGTCGACGTTTAAAGCCTTTATGTCTCGAAGACTTTTCTTCAGTGGAGAAGGAGTGGAGGGCGGGGAGTAATTGCGCACCTAACTTTTTTGAAAGAGATTTGGAAAAAGTGGGTTTCAGGGAAAAATACCGAACTATGATATACGCATACATGAAACTAGGGATGTTTTTAGTGAAAATATTAATAAAAACTCTACGCATATACGCTACTTAGAATTACTTGAAAAAACAACAAACAATATACACATACATGCAACTAAGATACATATTCAGAAAATAAACAAACAGATAAATTACAACATGGCACGTATATGTAACTAAAGACACATTTTAGGAAAAAAGAGAAGTAAGACGGGAAAAAAAGAGAAATAAGAGGGGAAAAAGATAAATAAGAGGGGAAAAAAGAGAAATACGGGAAAAAATATGCATGACAGGCCTCTCCAGTCATTCAATCATCAACACAGCCATAGAAAAGCCGACGCAGCCACTCATTCTGGAATTCCAGATGTACATTCCACCGCGTCCGTCTCGGCCCCACGTCTGTTGTGTCTTTTCCCTGCCATACCAATTTCATACCACCTTCAAAGACCCGCCAGACTACAAAACTCAAAGCACCGTAAAGCATAATCTCTTGTTGACAAGATCGTAGCGGTTTAGGAAAACGGAGGACTGGGAGTTGTTTGTCATGCAGCTCGACTTTAATTCCAACTATTATCTTTTCAGGATATTCCTACCCCTCCCCCCCTCTTTTATTTGCAGGACCAGGAAAGTTAGAAAAGAGAAAGCAAGAGAGAGAAAAATATACGTCAATAAAGTGATCATAACAGCAACCAGTGAATAACGCATCTCTCACGCACGCGAAGTAGCTTATACCGCTTCCCTCATTAACGAAAACATCCACCAAATTCCAAGGGAGTCGGCAATCCTCTTCTCTCCTCATCCTCATTCACCCGACGACCGGCGATGGATTTCGACGAGATCCTCCCTGACATCGGCGAGTACGGGACCTACCAGAAGCTGATCCTGTGGTTCCTCCTCCTGCCGGGGACGATGCCGTGCGGGTTCCACGCCTACAACCAGCTCTTCATGGCCTCCACGCCCGACCACTGGTGCCGCCTGCAGAAGCTCGACGATCTCAATTTTACAACAGAGGTGACGAAGAACCTCAGGTGAGATGGACTTTGTTTTCCCCTTGTGTGTACACCCCCCCCCTCTTTCTTCTTTCCATTTCTTTTTTTTTGCTACTTCTCTCTCTCTCTCTGCTCTCTCTTCTCTCTCTCTCTCTCTCTCTCTCTCTCTCTCTCTTCTCTCTTTCTCTCTCTTTCTCTCTCTCTCCCTCTCTTTCTTTCTTTTTTTCTATTTTTCTTTTCTTCTCTTCTCTCTCTCTCTCTCTTCTCTCTCTCTCTCTCTCTCTCTCTCTCTCTCTCTCTCTCTCTTTCAGCCCCCCCCCTCTCTCTCTCTGTGTCTGTCTGTCTGTCTCTTTCTATTTCTCTTTTTTTTGCTCCCCTCTCTCTCTCTCTCCCTCCCTCTCTCTCTTTCTAGTTTCTTTTTTTTTTGCTCCCCCCTCTCTCTCTTTCTTTCTATTTATCTTTTTTTTCTGCCCCCCCACTTCTCTCTCTCTTTTTTTTTTTCTACTCCCCCTTCTCTCTCTCTCTCTTTCTATTTATCTTTTTTCTGCTTCCCTTTTCTCTCTCTCTCTCTCTTTCTCTTTTTTTTCTGCCCCCTTCTCTCTCTCTGTCTCTCTCTTTCTCTATTTTTATTTCCCCCCTCTCTCTCACTTTCTGTATGTGTGTTTGCCTTTGAGTCTGCATGTGCATCTACGTATGCGGGTGTGTTTGTGTGTGCATTTGCTTCAGCTTTTGAGTAGGTATACATACCGGAGGGTTCGTCTCTCTGGTGAATATGGGAGGGCATGTACTCTTTCCCCTGGGGTTTCCATGTCCCCCTTCTCCCCTCTTCCCCCTCTTCCCCTCTTCCCCCTCTTCCCCTTGGGTTGTGTGGGCAGTCTCTTGATAAATTTATCCTAGGCACACGGGACTTATGCTTTGCCTTCTCTTTTGGTTGTTCTCTTATGATTATTATACTTCAGCTGGCGGTAATGAGGTATATTTCTTGCTCAGTTTTTCCTTAGAGATACTCACACTTTATCTACTAACAACAATTCTACGCTAACTTTAAATACATAAATCACTGTTTTATAATATGTATATATACAAACATATATACATATATGTATATACACATATAGATAGATAAATAGATAGATTGATAAACAGACAGATAGATACACAGATACATAGCTAGACACACAGATAGATAGAGAAAAACAGAGACAGAGAAAGAATGCGTGAGACGCAGAGCGAGCGAGAAAGGTCCCTTACTTACTTGATTCAAGCGTCACAGCCCCGCTTAATATCTTACAGCCCAACACATGTCGCAGTCTCACAACACGCATTTTAATCCCGGCTAAATCTGACACCTCCTTACGTCACTTCCAGCATACCGTACGACAGTTCAACTCAGCAATACAGCCGCTGCCAGAGGTACGACTACAACTACACTCAGCACCTCTCGAGCCTGGATCCGCTGAGCCTGATGGGAGGGGGTGGCACGGTGACCCCGCCAAGCAGCGCCAAGGTGGTGCCATGCGACCAGGGATGGCACTACGACCTTCCGAAATACTCCACGTCGATTGTCGCCGACGTGAGTGTTCAACAGATATCAGTTAAACGGGTTAGACAGGTAGATCGAGAAATCGATAGACAGACAGGTAGACTTGCAGGTAGTAGAGACAGATAGATATAGATCTATAGAAAGGTAGATAGGTAGAGGTAGAAAGAGTAACAACAACAAAAGTAGAAAGAGAAGGAAAAATAGGAGAAAAAAGGAAAGAGGAATATGAGAGAGAGAGAGAGTGAGAGAGAGAGAGAGAGAGAGAGAGAGAGAGAGAGAGAGAGCGATATGATTATTTTTCTCTCTTCAAACTTACGCATCAAAATTATTCAGTGAAAAAGTTTCCCCGTCCAAAAGGCGCTATCTATCCGCTCTGGTTATTCGAATTTTCACGAAATATCATCGCTATTTCATTTACATCTATATAGAAAAATATATTTAAATTCGGCTTATCGCCCAATGGTGGAAGAAAAGAACCCAGATTCTGTATATATATCGCTTTAATTACATCCTGAATGCCAGGAAAGAAAATTTTGGGAAACAGTACTCGGCTGAATTAAGAAGAAAAAAATCGTTCTAATGTGACAAGCAAAGTATTATATTCAGAACAGATATTTTTAAAGGTAGAATGTATGTGTGTGCGTGTATGTGTGTGTGTGTTTGTATGTGTGCGTATGTGTGTGTGTGTTTGTGTGTGTACGTGCGTGTGTGTGTGTACTTGTGTGTATGAGAGAGAAAAAAAGAAAACCATTATAGAAGAGAAATCTGCGTCATAAACACATAAATGTATCTAACCAAGAACGACATCCTAAGTCCCTGAAACTCCCTAAACGGCTGTCGATCTACTCCCGAAACGGGGCACGGACTGACGCCCCACGCGAGCCGCCGTCACCATCCAGCACCATATCCTGCTATCAACCGCTCGTCACCCGAATTGACAAGCGAAATGAAGACGCCACTGAACTGATTAGCAAGAAGGCGTGTGAAGTCATTAACGAGACCTGAGCCGATGGTTATGAATAGAGTCCTTGGCAGAACCCATACGAGGGCGGGACAGCGAGATAAAGGACTCATATTAGTGAAATGATTGAAGGAGGAGGGGAAGGGGAAGCGCTTGTGTGTGTGTGTGTGGGCGAGAGAGGGAGAGGGAGAGGGGGAGGGAGAGGGAGAGGGGGGATGGAGAGGGAGAGGGGGAGGGGGAGGGAGGAGGGAGAGGGAGGGGGAGGGAGAGGAGAGGGAGAGTGGGAGGGGGAGGGAGGGAAGAGGGAGAGAGAGACGACGAGTGAGAGGGACAGGGAC